CAAAACAGAAAGCAAGAGGATTATAACAGGGCCTGGAGATTTGACTGATGAACAAAGAAAATGTTACTTTTAGTGCCAGTAATGTCTGCATTGTTCATTCTGGACCCTATTTTGAAATTGACTATCTTTTTAATTTGTCAATTTCTGACCACTTTATTGGGTAGTTGAAATCAGTAACTGGGTGGCTTCTTGTACTCAGTTGATAGAACAAATGAAGTTCTAAAGAAACAGCTATGAATTTGGTCGACTGGAACAATGGAATTGGCTGAAAATAGGGCTCAAAGTGGGCGAAATCGACGATGCGTAAATGTCGCCGAGGTCAGTAACTTTGCAAGAGCATAAATCCTTAAGTTTTCCATCAAATTTCGTATTTTGGTGTCATTATCATTGGGACAAGATTCTCTATCATTTCATAAGAAAAAATCATTTTTTTTTTTTCAAATACTTTGCAACAGCAGGAGACTTCAGTATTTGGGGTTGTGACAGTCAAAGGGTCAGGATGACTTGGTAATGCAAAAGATGGTGTAATTATTGAACAAATGCAGTTATGAACGGTAAAAAATCCAAAGTCAGTGTGAGCAACACATATGGTAGCTTCAAACAGAAGAGGAAGCAAACTGTATTACAAACTCTGCTACTGGCTGAGATGTTACCATACAGACATTTAACCCAGCTGCTGACTGACTACTAAGCTACTTTCACTGACCCCCACTCCTACTGTCTCAAATGTTGCCCAAGAGGCAAGCTACTGCATCACAGGTTGGCTAAGGTCCACCCACACAAGAAGTAACACTCCCATTGGCAGAGATATTGCCCAAGAGGCAAGCTACTACATCGCTGGTTGGCTGAGGCCCGCTCAGATGTTCTGACAATAATAATATTAATAATTTTTATCCTAGGAAGTAGGTTGGTAGACAGCAACTGCCTAGGGAGGTACTACAGTCCTGCCGAGTGTAAGATGAAAGCCTGTAATGGTTTTACGTGATGGTAGGATTGCTGGTGTCTTTTTTCTGTCTCGTATACATGCAAGATTCCCGGTACATCTTGCTACTTCTACTTACACTTAGGTCACACTACACATGCACATATACAGACTCCTCTGGGTTTTCTTCAATTTTCTTACTAGTTCTTTTCTTTTCTTTCTTTTTTTTTAACAAGTCGGCTGTCTCCCACTGAAGCAGGGTGACCCAAAAAAGAAAGAAAATCCCCAAAAAGAAAATACTTTCATCATCATTCAACATTTTCACCTCACTCACACATAATCACTGTTTTTGCAGAGGTGCTCAGAATACAACAGTTTAGAAGCATATACATATAAAGATACACAACATATCCCTCCAAATTGCCAATATCCCAAACCCCTCCTTTAAAGTGCAGGCATTGTACTTCCCATTTCCAGGACTCAAGTCCGGCTCTATAAAAACAACCGGTTTCTCTGACTCCCTTCATTAAATATTACCCTGTTTACACTCCAACAGCTCATCAGGTCCCAAATACCATTGATCTCCATTCACTCCTATCTAAAATGCTCATGCATGCTTGCTGGAAGTCCAAGCCCCTCACCCACAAAACTTCCTTTACCCCCTCCCTCCAACCTTTTCGAGGATGAACCCTCCCCCACCTTCCTTCCCCTACAGATTTATACACTCTCCATGTCATTCTACCTTGATCCATTCTCTCTAAATGACTAAACCACCTCAACAACCACTTTTCAACCCTCTGACCAATACTTTTATTAACTCCACACTTCTCCTAATTTCCACACTCCGAATTTTCTGCATAATATTTACACTACACATTGCCCTTAGACAGGACATCTCCACTGCCTCCAACCGCCTCCTCGCTGCAGCATTTACAATCCAACCTTTAAATACTGTTCACATATATACTTCAATGTAAACACTTGATCTAAACATCTCCCTACCCAATCTAAAACATCCTTGCTCATCCACAATCCTACATTCTGTCTTACCTCTAATTCTTTCAATAATAACCCTACCGTATGCTTTTCCCTAGTATACTCAGTAAACTAATTGTTCTTGTTCTTGTTTATTTCCTATCTCCATGGGGAAGTGGAACAGAATTCTTCCTCCGTAAGCCATGTGTTTCGTAAAAGGCGACTAAAATGCCCGGAGCAAGGGGCTAGTAACCCCTTCTCCTGTATACATTACTAATGTTAAAAAAAGAAAGTTTTTTTTCTTTTTTGGCCACCCTGCCTCGGGATACGGCCTGTTTGTTGAAAGAAGAATAATTTTTATATGTACAAGTACATGATACAACTATTACAGACTTTCCTGACATCCCTGGCATACTGTCAATAAAAAACCTTGGTTATGAAAAGCATTTCAGGCAACTTAGGTTAATCTTGTTCCATAGGATGGAACCTACAACAGTGGGCTAACACCCAGGTACCTTCTTACTGCTAGGTGAAAGGGGCAGCAGTAGGTGTAAGGAAACACACCCTACATTTCACCTGTACCAGGATTGATCCTCAGACCTGTATGAGAGGTGAGGATACTATCAAGCAAACCACAAGCACCTGCACTATCTTGTATATATCGTAACTCAAATTTATCATTGCAATTCAAAATTAAATTCCTCAATGAGCATAAACTGTAACTCAAAAGACCACCATCTATAATATGTATCTATAAAGCTACATACTCAACTATTGCTACTGGACATGCCAGCCTCTTCTCACTGAGGTAGGGTGATCCAAAGAAGAGGAAACACTTTCACCATCGTTCTTTCAATCACTGTCTTGCCTGAAGCATGTTGACAGCTCAGTTCAAATGACCCTCTGAACATTCTTATTAGGGATGGAACAACAATTTTTTTTTTGCTGATACCAATACTCAGCTTTAAGTGGGTACCAATACTCATTAATAATACTGATACCATCAAAATTAGCCAATACCAATGATACCAATACTTTAGCATACCACTAATTCTTATAATCCTAAGTGCTAAAGGCTAGTCTGAGCCTAATACAGCTGTAATATGCCTGGAATGCATCTACTGAATACAGCAAAGAGACACCACTATACCATTTAACAATTCCAGTAATACTGTATAACATTTTTACACAAATAACCCACATGCAGAAGACAAACTTATGACAAAATTTTGGTCTGACTTAAACCATTAACTAGTTATTTATGTATTGCTCCAATCACAATACTGTGTTTATTTCTTCTATATAACATTTACAGTATATTCTTTTTAGCTTTAAATTTACCTAAAACCCAGTGTAAACTGGCCTTTGTAATAACTCTTAATCACTGGGATTTTCAAAACCCAAACACATCTGAAGTAACTTCTAGACTGAAATGAATCTCATCTACTGAACACATTAGTAGATGATGCAAAAATCTAATGCAAAGTATGAAACTAAAAAATTGCAAAAATTTTATAAGAATATTTTGACAAATTTAGTAAATAATGAAAAATAAAAAAATGGAATATTATAGAAATTGCAAATTCCACATAATGGAAAATGATATACAAAAATGAGCCAAAGAAGAATATATTGTAGATTGTGTGGAAAGAATTTATCGTCATCCTATTGAGGCATTCTAAATAAATTTCACTACAAATTTACACCAATACAGTACTGTAGTTAAGAGAATCTTAAGCAATGTTACTAAACTTTAGGACAGCTCAGTAATACATGGATGAAGAATGGGAATAAACAGTCATATGTTGGTATCTGCACAGAAAGAAACAAATAAAAAATATATATGCAATAAAATGTATTCAAGAATTAAGAATTATGAGTTATAAACAAGACTGAAGAAAATACTTTCATGCAAAGACAGGAGAGGAGAAACATAACTACACCTAACAAGTGCAAGAAGTACAATAAAGATTTTTCCAGAAAACAAGTGGTGGATATAACAGAATACTGCTAACACTAGTGAAATAGACATGCTGGAAAACAAGCTTTGCTTGGGATTATGTTTTGCATTATAGAGTTTCATCATACTCCACACATAGCAAAACTTTACCCCAATAAAACCTTCTTTTGCAACATGTGTATTTTCTTCACATGTGGTGGACAGATGGGGCAGAGGTGGTGGTACAGCCCCATGTCAAGCTTTATCATGCTCCAGACAGAGCAAAACTTTGCCCCAATAAAAGTTTGTTCTGCAACATCTTTTTTTTCACATGTGGAAGACAGATGGGGTAGAGGCGGTGGTACAGTATAGTATGTCAATCACTGGAACCCTTAAAAATAACTATGATAAATTAAATAAAGAAAATAAGAGACCATGTGCATAAGCTCTAGTTCTGAAATTGCTGTTAGGTACAGTAACTACAAAAATTAAACACCTGATCTTTTACCTCTGGTAATTTTTTTTTTTTTTTTTTTGTTTGTATCTATGACTATGACAAGTGAGAGTACAAGCAGGCCAGATGTTATGTACTGATGTTATCATTAGTGCATTAGTGAGCAAATATAGCACCTACCATTTCCAATCATTTAAAATGATGAGGCTTAACTTCCTACTGCATTAACCAAAAAAAAAGTTGAGAATCCCATATGTATACCATGAACTACAAAAGGAATCTCCAGACATGTCTGATATATTTATTTCTAAAGCCACTTCTGGCTTCAGGAACATACAATGTTTCTAAAGCTGTGGTGGCTTTAGGCATACAGTTTGCATCTGAAGCAGCTGGTGGCATCAGGCACATACAACAATGTTTCTGAAGCAGCTGGTGGCTTCAGACACACGTTTGTTTGTGAAGCAGCAATTGCTTCAGGCACAAACAACTGTTTGTTTCTGAAATAGCTGGTGAATTCAGGCACAGACAATGTTTTTTTCTGAAGCTGCTGGTGGCTTCAGGTACACACATGAGAATAGCTTCCCCTACATACAACACTCTTGATGAAGCAACTGAGGTTACTTATTTCATCTTGTGAAATCCAAGGTGGCTTAGGGATAGCTAAAGCTTTCTTAGGCTTCACATAAACATGCAGTCACAATCATACTTACCGTGGAGATGAGTGAGGTTTATCTTTATCTTCCAACGAACCACTGAAATAATGAAGAGGCCTTATTGGCAGGAATAAAAGGAGTCTGGTGCCACACAGAATACGATGGACTATGTCTCAAAACATTAACGTTACTAATATTGATTGGTGAGGAAAGAAGACGTTAAAAATAAGTAGCTCTAGAATGCATATTTGACTTTGGATGGAGGCATTACAAATAAACCACCCAGGACTAGTGTTTAGGACATGTGGGAGAATAACTCAGGACAAAGCAAATTCTGGCACACTTGAGGAGAGGATGCATTTATCTGTAGGATTAAGACTGAAGCTAGGCAATTTTATCTTTGTCTACATTGAATTAGAGGTATGACAGAGTCCTTGCTTGATGATGATATATGTTATGGAAAGATACATGGTGCACTATTAATAATCAATAAGATGGCTGAGACATAAATGTGAGATTTCAGATTACCAACAGATTCTGAGGTAGAAGAAAAATGAAAAGATATGAGGGCTAGCAGATCTTTATTTTTTTTTAAATACCTGCACTGTAATTTAAAAGAAATCAGAAATATGAAGAATATTTAAACAAATCACTCAAAAAAATAAATTTATATATACTAAACATCATACATTTTAACTTAAAAGTGTATATAAGAATAAATGGAGTGTCAACTTCCACCCATCTCCGTCCAACCCATAAAAAAAAAAAAGTGGCCTTATGAGTAAGCAGTGAAAAATCTGCAGGGCAATTATATTAATAAATGTGAATAGAATAAAAGTTTTCAGTATAAGAAAGCATAGGAATACATACATACAGTCAAACCTCGGTTTTCGTATGCCCTAGTTTCCGAACGATTCAGTTTTCAATGACTTGTCGAAATTTTGTCCCAGTTTTTGGACATCCACTCGGTTTTCATACAGTTGAAAATAGTCTGTGCCAAACTCGACTGCCTGCCCGTGTGACTCGGGCACTCATTTCCCGGAATCGAGCGCCCACACAAAGTATCCCATGCATTCGTGACTCAGTCTGCTTTTGTTTCCCGTTGAGTGAGCATCACCTCGCATGTTCATCCGAAACATTTCGTAATAATATATTGTTTTTAGTGCTTGTTTATTGAGTGCGACTGCTAAATAAGCCACCATGGGGGTCAAAGAAACTTCTGAGTGCCAGCCCTTTGATAAAGAAGACGAGAAACATGATAGAATTCAAGAAGGAACTCGTAGCAAAGTATGAAAGTGGTCAATGAAGTGTTTGGCCCAAGTGTGAAACAATACTTCTTGGAAAATCAATTGCCACTCAAGTGCTTCCTGGTAATGGACAATGCTCCTGCTTATCCTCCAGACTTGGAAGACCAATTGTTGGAGGAGTTTGTTTCATCACAGTGAAGTTATTGCCCCCTAATACCACTCCTCTCATCCAGCCCATGGACCAGCAGGTCATTTCAAACTTCAAAAAACTCTACGCCAAAGCACTATTTCAAAGGTGCTTTGAAGTGACCTCGGACATTGAACTGACCCTAAGAGGTCTGGAGGAATCACTTCAATATTCTCAATTGCATAAGCCTTATAGATAAGGCTTGACAACAAGTGACTTCCAGGATGATGAACTATGCTTGGAGAAAATTGTGGCCAGAATGTGTCCTCGAGAAGGATTTTGAAGGGTTTGTGGCTGATCCTGATGACCCCACACCTGTTGTGTTATCTACTGTGTCTTTGGAGAAGTCCATATGGGTTAGATGTGAGTGGCCAGGATGTGGAAGAGTTGGTAGATGACCACAGGGAAGAGCTAACCACTGAAGAGCTGCAAGACCTTCAACTGGAACAGCAACAGACCGCAGTTGAGGAAATTGCTTCAGAGGAGGAGGAAGAGAGAATGTGCCTTCTTCAGTGATTAAGGACATGTGTGCAAAGTGGAATGAGTTGCAAAGTTTTGTAGAGAAATATCAACCTAACAACGCTGTTGTAAGCCACATCTGTAACATGTTAAATGATAATGCTTGTCCCATTTTAGGCAAATCTTAACCCTTTCAGGGTCCAAGGCCCAAATCTGGAGTCATGCACCAGTGTCCAAGAATTTTCAAAAAAAAAAAATTGTTATTTTTTCTTATGAAATCGTAGAGAATCTTTTTGTGAAGGTAATAAAACAAAAAGTACGAAATTTGGTGGAAAATTGACGAAATTATGCTCTCGCGAATTTTGATGTGTCAGCGATATTTACGAATGGGCGATTTTGCCGACTTTGACTCCCATTTTAGGCCAATTACATTATTCCAGTCAACCAAATTCTTAGCTATTTCACTAGTATTACTTCTATTCTATCGATTGAGCACAAGAAATCGCCAAGTCAACTGTTTCAACTACAAAATAAAGTGATCGGAAATTGTTAATTTGGCCAATTTAACACAAAGTTCAAAATATTCCAATTTCAGAATAGGGTCCAGAATGAACAATGTAGGCATTCCTGGCACTAAACTAACATTTCCTCTGTTCATTAGTTATGTTTTGAGGCTTTACAAATAAATTCCATTTTGATTTTTTATTCACATAATGAATTTTTATTCACACCAAAAAATAGAAGATTTACTGTTATGCAATACTGTAATAATTGTATAAATATCATCACCATATTTGTGAATGTATATTAGACCCACCAGCTGATGTGTATTAGACGTGTGAGGTCGTTTGTTTACTCTTGAATATCGGCAAAAATTTAACATTTCTGCTACTTTGAGCTCAGTTTCAAGCCATTTCCAGTGCTAAAACCAATCAAAATCATCTCTATTTCTGTAATATGTCTTCCATTCTATCAAATGAGACCAAGAAATCGCAAATACAACTATAAAAAACATACGAAAAAACACTGCAAAGTTGCTGTTTTAATCGAAAAATCATGATTTCATTTTTTTCTCTCATTATACACAGTGTGCTGCAGGATCTGTTTTATGTGGTGCACACATACCACATAGATGTATTCTCTCATATCTAGGCCCAAATGTACCACTCACAGTTTATCAGAGTGAGCTGAGCTCATGGCGTAGATCTACGGTTTGGACCCTGAACGTAAAGCCGTAGATCTACGGGACGGACCCTGAAAGGGTTAAAGAGACGCCAGAAACAGACGCTCTCAGGACAGATTTTTTGTGCGACAGGGGTCCAGTGACTCTCAAGCTGGTCCTAGTGCCAGTAAAAGACAAAGAAAGGAAGTAACACTAGATATGGCCTTGATACCTGAATTCTTTATGGGCGGGGATTCCTCTTCCAAACAACAACCTCTCCTCCCTCTCCCCTCCCCGCCGTCTTCCATACATCAACAAGTCTTCAATAAAGGTAAAAGTGATGTTAAATGTTGATTTATCCATTTCATTAATCTTTTTTTTTTTTTTCAACAAGTCGGCCGTCTCCCACCGAGGCAGGGTGACCCAAAAAAGAAAGAAAATCCCCAAAAAGAAAATACTTTCATCATCATTCAACACTTTCACCACACTCGCACATTATCACTGTTTTTGCAGAGGTGCTCAGAATACAACAGTTTAGAAACATACACATATAAAGATACACAACATATCCCTCCAAACTGCCAATATCCCAAACCCCTCCTTTAAAGTGCAGGCATTGTACTTCCCATTTCCAGGACTCAAGTCCGACTATATGAAAATAACCGGTTTCCCTGAATCCCTTCACTAAATATTACCCTGCTCACACTCCAACAGATCGTCAGGTCCCAAGTACCATTCGTCTCCATTCACTCCTATCTAACACGCTCACGCATGCTTGCTGGAAGTCCAAGCCCCTTGCCCACAAAACCTCCTTTACCCACTCTCTCCAACCCTTTCGAGGACGACCCCTACCCCGCCTTCCTTCCCCTATAGATTTATTTGCTTTCCATGTCATTCTACTTTGATCCATTCTCTCCAAATGACCAAACCACCTCAACAACCCCTCTTCTGCCCTCTGACTAATACTTTTATTAACTCCACACCTTTTCCTAATTTCCACACTCTGAATTTTCTGCATAATATTTACACCACACATTGCCCTTAAACAGGACATCTCCACTGCCTCCAACCGTCTCCTCGCTGCTGCATTTACCACCCAAGCTTCACACCCATATAAGAGTGTTGGTACTACTATACTTTCATACATTCCCTTCTTTGCCTCCATAGATAACGTTTTTTGACTCCACATATACCTCAACGCACCACTCACCTTTTTTCCCTCATCAATTCTATGATTAACATCATCCTTCATAAATCCATCCGCCGACACGTCAACTCCCAAGTATCTGAAAACATTCACTTCTTCCATACTCCTCCTCCCCAATTTGATATCCAATTTTTCTTTATCTAAATCATTTGACACCCTCATCACCTTACTCTTTTCTATGTTCACTTTCAACTTTCTACCTTTACACACATTCCCAAACTCATCCACTAACCTTTGCAATTTTTCTTTAGAATCTCCCATAAGCACAGTATCATCAGCAAAAAGTAACTGTGTCAATTCCCATTTTGAATTTGATTCCCCAAAATTTAATCCCACCCCTCTCCCGAACACCCTAGCATTTACTTCCTTTACAACCCCATCTATAAATATATTAAACAACCATGGTGACATTACACATCCCTGTCTAAGACCTACTTTTACCGGGAAGTAGTCTTCCTCTCTTCTACACACCCTAACCTGAGACTCACTATCCTCATAAAAACTCTTTAGAGCATTTAATAACTTACCACCTATTCCATATACTTGCAACATCTGCCACATTGCTCCTCTATCCACTCTATCATATGCCTTTTCTAAATCCATAAATGCAATAAAAACTTCCCTACCTTTATGTAAATACTGTTCACATATATGCTTCAATGAAAACACTTGATCTACACATCCCCTACCCACTCTGAAACCTCCTTGCTCATCCGCAATCCTACATTCTGTCTTACCTCTAATTCTTTCATTTATAACCCTACCGTACACTTTTCCTGGTATACTCAGCAAACTTATTCCTCTATAATTTTTACAGTCTCTTTTGTCCCCTTTCCC